AAGCCTGTTGTTGCATTTGGTTCTACCGCTGCCCCTAAGGTCTCGTCTGCCTACCCCCCAGACACGAGCTCGAAGCCTGTTGTGGCATTTGGTTCTACAGCTACTTCAAAGACACCTGTTGCATTTGGGTTTGGAGCGACGCCATCTCCTACTACTGGCTTCAACTTTGGGGCGAAGGCAACTCCAGCTGCACCAAAGGCGGCATCGTCAGCCTACCCCCCAGACACGAGCTCGAAGCCCGTCGTTGCGTTTGGCTCTACGACTGCTCCGAAGGCTTCATCAGCGTATCCTCCTGATACGAGTTCGAAGGTGCCTGTGGGGTTTGAGTTTTCAGCGACGCCACCTATTACTACAAGTTCCAACTTTGGGGCCAAGACAACTCCAGCTGCCCCAAAGGCGTCGTCAGCCTATCCTCCTGACACGGGCACGTCTCCACCAGTAGGTTTCGGTGCCACGAAAGCCCCATCCTTAGCCACCACCAGCTCGCTCAAGTTTGGCGCCCCATCAGCTCCACGTCCTTCCGCGGCGCCCTCGACGGTCAAAGTAGATCCAAACACGATCGAATTGCAAAAAGCCATGCCAGCGAGTGCGTGGGAAGGCGCGATGTGGAACCTAATCAACGAGTTTGATCGCACGTTTCAGAGAATTCGTCGCGAAGACGACAAGTTTGTCAAGCACAAGAGCGAGTCGGAGGCGGCATTCATTCAGTCGTTGAAAGACCTGCGGGCCAAAGTGCTGGGTATGTGTGGCGCCGTGGACAAACTGAATGACGAGCTGAACGTGGTGGAAACCGACTTGAAGGTCGTGGCTGGCAACTGCAGTGACATCGACGTGCAACTCGAGTGCTCCAACCGTCTGCTCAAGGCCATGCACGACAAGAGCGTCATTGCACACCTGGAAGACCAACCGTTGGACCAACGGTCGCAGAACACGCGCATGGCGCTGCGCAGTCAGTTGGAAGCGATTGAACGGTTGCGTGTGGAAGTGGAGAAGCATGTGACAGCATTGAAGGGCGCCGCGTTGCCTCACCACACCGCCTCGACCAGGTAAAACAATCGAATAGAGCCCGTGAAACGTGGTGGGTGTATTGACTGTTGTCTTAGGTTGAACGACGCGGCCCAGCTGTTTCGTGTGCTTAAGCTCAACTACGACACGTCGAAACGAGAATACACGCGGGTGTTGGAGCTCGCAGAGACATTCAAGCAATTGGAACTCCAGCATCAACACTACACCAAGAGCCTCCCCAAGCCGACGCCCCCTGTGGCCACGAAGGAGCTGCTGCACCAATTGCGTCGACAGCACGACACTGAGGCGACGTTCCGGTCGAACTTGGCCAAGTGGACGAGCCAGCCGATTGTGCCCCGGGAAGTGTCGGCCCCAATCAAACGCCAACCTCTCTCAGAAACCATCTCCGCGTCCAAGCCCGCCCCGGAAGTTCCACAGCGAGTGCCCAGCAAACTCATGTTTGGGGCTAAGACCACCATCCCTTCCCAGGCCACCGAAGCCGGCGGTGGGTTATCGTTCACCAAGCCACCTGTCGACACTGCAACCAAAGTGCCTCTTCTCGATGCCGACAAGGTCTCTAAATCTGTGTCGTTTTCGGCCTCCACAAAGCCAGGGGCCGCGTTTAACTTTAGCAAGCCGCCGCCTTCCACTGCTGCGAAACCACCCAGCAGCATCCGGCCCAACCTTTCGTTTTCGAACGACGACAATGACGAAGAAGAAAAGACAGACTCCCCTCGAGCGCGAAAGATGTCGACGAGCAGCAAGAACGGCACGCCAGAACGATCATTCAAAAAGTCCCCTAGCACAGGACCCTCGGCTGCCGCCATCCCAACGATCAAACCCCTCGACTTTGGAGCCAAATCCAAGGACAGTAGCAGTGGCACTTCGTCGTTTTCGTTTGCCCCGTCCATTTCCAAGCCCCCCGCCGCGCCTGTTGTTGCTGCTGCTGCAGTCGTAACACCCCCCCCTCCTTCAACCGCCGCACCGGTCACAACGGCCCCCGACTTGGTCGAGCGATTGAAGTCGTTTTATGCTGTGTACAACCCAGGCAAAAGCACAGCTGCCGCTGAAAAGCTGCTTGCGCAAAGCAAAGGAACTGAAGAGCAAGTGTTCCACAAGCTCCTGCAAAAGTACGTGAGCAAGGATGCCACCGTGGCGCACGCCAAAGCGTACATGACATCGGGGAACGTCCCCGAGGCGCTGAAAACTGCTCCTGCCCCGTCAGCCCCCACCCCCGCGACAACATCCGCACCGCCTGCGTTCGGAAAACCGTCGGCTAGCCCTTTCGGAGCAACGCCTCCGAGTGGGCTGGGGACCCCCTCCACGGCGGCGAAACCGGCCCCATCACCATTTGGAACGACTCCAGCCACCGCCGCCAGTCCGTTTGGGTCCACGACGACAGCAGCCGCCTCCAGTCCATTCGGCGCCGCTGCCACCACCGCCGCGACTCCTCCAGCAGCCAGTCCATTCGGAACAACTTCGACGGCGTGGCCCAGTGCCACCGCAGCGCCTTCGCCATTCGGGGCATCCTCCGGATTTGGAGTAGACTACCGGTCAAAAGTCGTCGAGTTCTACAAGCAACACAATCCTGACAAGTTGGCCGAGGTGGACACCGTGCTGCAAAAGTACAAGGGCAAGGAAGAGGAACTGCTCAAGAAATTGGAAGCCAAGTACAGTAAACCTCAAGGAACCGCCTCGGGATTTGGCGGTGGCGCCAGCCCGTTTGGTGTTGCGGCCACCCCACCGGCGTTTGGGTCGTCGCCGTTTGGTGCGGTGGCCGCCCAACCAGCTGCCACCGGATTCGGAGGGGCTTCCCCGTTTGGTGCGGCCGCGGGGAGCTCCCCTGGCTTCGGGGCACCTAGCCCCTTTGGCGCGTCTCCGGCTGCCGCTAGTCCTTTCGGGGCCCAACCTGCTCAACAAGCGCCTACGCCTTCATTTGGTGCGACCACAGGGTTTGGAAGTACTGGATTTGGCACCAGTGGTGCTGCCCCAGCCTTTGGCTCGACCACTGCGTTGGGTGGCACTGCCGCGCCTGCCTTTGGAGCGACCACGTCTCTGGGTGGTGGCGCTGCCCCCGCGTTCGGCTCTACACTGGGAGGCGGCGGGTTTGGAGGACTGGGCTCGAACGCGCCAACGTTCGGGGCGTCCTCGACCCTTGGAAACGGTGGTGGCTTCTCGACCTTCGCATCCAACACGGCTGCCGCACCGAGCTTTGGGCTTGGCGGACAACAAAGCACTTCCACGCCACCCCCTGCCTTTGGTGGCTCTGGCGGCGGATTTGGCGGTGGGTTTACCAGCACGAGCTTCACACAAGCCCGTCGATAGTTGGGTATATAATTTTATTAAGAACCAATGCATCCATCAACTACAATAACGACTTTTCGGGCAATGTTTCAATATCTTTAAATCGAGAGTTCTGATTGGCCCATAGATATCTTCAAGGGTATCCATTTTGTGTACTATTAATAGTACTAAGTTATTATTATTACGACGAACTGTCAGTATTATCTATGTCATCGAGATCGATGGCAAGGAATACCAGGGGGATGTTTGTGTACTGTCGTAACGTTACTTGTGAGATGTGTACGTTAGACGGTTAGTATGGCACTAACAGGTAGTGGTCGAGGATGTCAGTGGTGCATCCCTTGCTTAAAGTGTCGTAAGTTGGAGTGAAAGTTGGAGATCGCGTCTGTCCACACGACTGACGAGATCGAGTGCGCGCCGCTGTCCGACATGAGCGACATCCTCGATCTTTCTAGCGAGGACGACGCCGTGGGTCGCAAACTAGCCAGATCGAAGTCGTTGTCGTCGCTACTGTCGGTCGTGGGTACCTCTTCTGCACGGGCGAGGTGCGTCTGCTCGAGTCGCCCGTCCCCCGACCGGACGAATTGCAAGTCAAGGAATGTGTTGACATCGCCATCGTCCGCGCTTCTGAAACACTCGTGGTCGTCGTGCTGCTCCAAAATGTCCAGGTTGGCGTCGTCCACGACCAGGATTGAGTGGTTCTGCGCAGCCCAATCTGCTTCCCGGTAGAATGACGTGGCGGTTGGGCTACGCGATGACGATGGAGTCGACGAGTGGCGGCGGTGGGTCAGCGCACTGAGAAGGTGATGAGTGGAAGCTGTAGATGACGAGGAGCTGTCTGGGGACGAGCGTCGTATGGGCTGTGCCGTTGTCGCTTCTTTCATCACACAGCGAATGCACACTGGCTTGTGCTGCCTGACTTTCTTCACGAACGTGGTGGTGAGGCACGCTTTGCACACGCGATCGCGGCACGTGGTACATGTTTTTCTGGATTCAAATGCCTTGAACGGGTGAAAGCAGCCGGCGCAGTGCTTGCCCGACACGACGTTGCGCAGCATGGTGGTGGTGGCTTCCGCCGGTTGCATCTGCTTGATGTACACGCTCAGCTGGGCAGCCATGCCAGCCACTCGCTTCTTCATGTACCGACGGGCCACCCACGATGGCAGCGTGCCGCGAAAGTCGACGTGCATACAGCACACGACATCCAGAAGTCCGGGCGAGACCTCCGTGAACGTGTAGCCGGTGTGTTGAGTGTGCATGCGCACGAAACCACTGGCTTCCGGACACACGTCGATCGACTGCACGAGCGACGCAAATCCCTTGGCTTCCCCCGTTTCAAACATGTCGCGCACCTCCAACACGCATGCGTCGCGGACTTTGGCGCTTGGGGCTGCCTTGACCGCCATCCATGTCACGCCCACATGATGATGATGGTTGTCGGTAGCCGAGTCGTCTTCGTCCAGGGAGGCCACGGCCATCGACTCCAACGCATCAAAGTGATGCGAGGTGGGAAATTGGCCGGCTAACGTGGCCGCCTGCGCCAGCGTGCCGCGAACTCTCCGCGCGTTCGCGAAGACCACGACATTAAACGGTGTCTTGCCCGTGTACAATTGAACGAGTCCGTCCTTGTCAGTAGAGCCGTCGAGAGTCCATTCAATAGAGCCGCCGTCGTTGTGGAGGAGCTGGCTGTCGAAGATGAATTGTCGTAGCGCTTGTGTGGCGCTTTCGCGAACCTGTTGCCGTTGGGTGGAGGTCCACGTCGGGCGTCGCAGGTGCAGCATCGGAGGGGGGGGACGTGTGTGAAAATGGAAGTAGGCACAATCATTGACACGAATCAACGAAAGGCTGATTGTTGCGTACGCTTCAACAGCTGGGTGCAATGCGACGGCGGACTGGCCTACATACTGTACGGTACACCCGTGCTGGATGGGCAAAGGACGAGGCTTGAACCCCAGTTGAGGGATATGGAACCAGTGAAGTTGGTAGAGATACTGTATATAGACACTGTCTTACTGCATGTTGTCACGAAATGCTATGAAGAAGGGACATGACTGTATCGATTAGATTGTTGCGACACGGTTCAGGGGCAGTGCACTTTGCTCTGAATTTCAACGTGTTGATGACGCAAGGTCGACTGATCTGGACACTACTGACGGACGCGAAAGCCCAGAGTGAGCTTAGTGTCACCACATACAACTGTCTACGATTAGAAACTCCTTCTTGTCAGCTCCCACCTTTCTGTTTGCAGTGCAACGCATCCCTGCTTATTGCTCCGCGTTCACTGAAACCTAGAGGTCGAAGCTTTGAAAGATTGCGACTGCACACTTAGCTTGCCATACTGTTAGATAATGCCTTTGATCCTGACATGAATATGAAAATAGTTGGAAATATATATTGTGGCTAGAAATAAATTGTAAAGTATTGTGCTTTCGAGTGAAATTTCGTGTTGTGGCGTGGTTTCTCGTTGGAATTTAAATCGATTTGATTGGCTACCTCAGGTGAGCTCAAAATTATTAGCCAATCAAAACCATCCCAATGAAATTCAACCAATCAGATCGATTGTGGATCGGTTTGGTTGGCGCGATTCGATTGCACCCCGTCCCCAAATTTGTATCAAATTGACAATATTGAGGTCAAGATTTTATGCGGACAACTGTACGGATAATTCCGCTACGCCCCAGCCGTCCGAGCAGTAAACATGGACAAGGTCACGGTGCTGCAGCAATGCGTGGACCAAATGACGCTGGACATGTTCAACGCCCTTCGACTACTTCCACCACTCGACACGGAGGACGACTCAAATGCAGAAGTTGTGGCGGAGCAGTTGGAGCGGATAAAGGGGCTGGCAAAGGACTTGCTGCTGAGCGCCAAGCGCACAAACGAAGTGATCGACACGCTTCCGGGACTCGACAAGACAGAAGCCGACCAACTGGAGGAGCTTCGCCTTCTCCAGATCGCGAGTGACGAAGAAGCACGTAACCTCCTCGAGGCGGAAGCGGAAGCGTTGCAGTGGAATGCCCGTGCCCATGAATCCCTGGAGGTGATCTGCGACACGAGGCTGAAGAATCGGCCCTCCAAAATCAGCGACCCCCCTAGCATTAGTACCACATTGACGACCACCGCATCCTCGACCATCCTTCCAACCACAGACCTTTAACTAACATTTCAATAATCGATCACTCGATGTCAATGCATCGTATCTACGTTATTCTCTCGACTTGGACGGATACAGGTACGCTTTGGTGGCCACTTCATACCCAGCCAGCAGCGACGGACCTGCGTCCATGAGCACATCGTAAAGCGCGTCCACGTCTCGGTTGCCGCGGGCGCTGCTGCGCTGGGCATATGCATCCAAACATGCGTGGATCTCTTTCCAAATGACGTCTTCTGCCGCCATCGCCAGCGCGCGATCTTTCCAGCAGGCCACCCCAAGTGGCATGTCCGCCGGCATGACCACAGGGCTGTACTGCGCGAGCCCCGCCTGCGTCTCCATCCACGCCACGTACGTCGGAATTGTCCAGCCCTTGGCCTGCCACGGCGCCTGCAGCCCCGCGGGACCGCGACTGAGCAGGTGATGGCACACGTTGCTCGGGCGCACCTTGTCCAACCGGCCGTCCCGCGTCACGTTGGCCGTGTCCACAAACAGCAAATGCCGGAACGCTTTGAACTCTTCCAGCGCGAGACCGGACAGCTCGAGCGAGTTGCCGAGGACCATCTCGAGCTGCGCCATATCGCTGGCAAGGCGGCACTTGCCTGCTTCCGTGAGCGGCCGCACCAGCGCCAGTTGCCGCGTCGCGTGCGACAGCAGCCGCGTGCTGAGCTCCCCGACGCACGTGCGGCGGCAGACGGATGTCATTGGGTCTAGCCCTAACCGAGCCAAGTGTTCGGTCTCCATCACGTGAAACACGGACGCAAATTCCACCATGAACCGAGACCCGACCATAGCAGAGGACGACGGATGGTCGGCGTACGTTTCGAGGTGCATGGCGGCAAGGATGGATTCCAACTTGACCGCCAGCACGGTCAAATATTGCCCCAGCAACCGCACAGAGAGGGCATGCACGGCGTCCCTCGCTGTCTCGAGCTCGGGCCACTCTTGGAGCGCATCCTGTAGCTGCACACAGATGCCAACGAGTCCGACGTTGTGCGCCTGGGCCGGCGTGCGTTGGGCGGTCGGAGGAAGGGACAGCGACGGATGCGCCATGCCCCGCACACTCTTGCAGAACAGCTCGACACTGCGCCGCACCCCGACGAGGATGGCGGCACGAAAGGCGGCGTCCGAGCCCGCCACGTCCAGCTCGTGCGCCATGATCTTGAGCAGCGTGGTCATGTCGCTGCGACTGGGGGGAGATGCGTGGTAGTTGGACGATTGCGGAAACATGAGGTGGATTGGCGACGCGAGGCGGGTGAACGACCGCGTCTGGTACGCGTCGAGCAGCGGGGCCAGCGCCGTGTCGACCAGCTGGTCGCGTTCGGCCTCGGACCCGCACACGACGAGCGTGTCCAGGCTGAGCCGGGCGGACGTCGTGTGCAGTGTCGCGACCACTTCCTGCGCCTCGACGCGGAGTTTCGGGTAGTAGCCGACGATCGCGGCTACAACGGACGCCTTGTACTCGAGGGTTTGCGTGAGGAGGTCGCGAACGAGCGCGCACGAGATGTCCCAAAACGTGGCAAACAGGGTGGGTTCATCCGGCGAGAGGACCAGCGACAAGTACGTCATTGGTGGTTCCGACGGTTTCGACTTGGCATCCGAGGAGGTCGTCAGCGGCGCCGTTGACGACTTGAGCAGCACGCGCTGGAGGTTCCACACTTGCAGCGCATGGGACGACAGCGTACTCAACACGGTTTGGAGCGCGGCCCACACATCCGCTTTGAGCTTGGACTCGTCGAACGACCCTTCCTGCAAACTCTGCGAGCATTTGGCTTCCACGTCCTCGAGCGCGGCGTTCACGGCGGCCTGCACATGCTCCGACAACGTCGACGGTCCGAGCTGATATAGGATCTGCAGGGCGCTGCCGATCGCCACCTGGTCCACGGCCACCATGCCCAAGCGAAGGAGAGCTTTCATGTGTTTGGTGAGGTCGCTGCGCCATGTGCGCAAGAGCGGCAACGCCGGGGAGATGACCGCAAGGGACTGGAACGCGGCATGCTCGTCGGCGACCAAGAGCTCGGCTTCTCGGAGCGCTAACGACGCGGCCGAGTATGTTCCTGCCACGTCCGTGCTGGAACATGTAGAGGTTGGGTGGGGAGGCAGGTGCAGTTGTTGCAACGTGTCGATCAGCGATTGAAAGCGCAGAACGCGTTGCAACACTGCACTGCAGAGGTCGACGTTCCGAAGCTGACGGACCGTGCGCTGTAGCCCACGATGGGCCTTGTGGATGTCCATGTCCATGCGCTGGATGGCGGCTTGGACGTCATGCACGTCGGTGTGCAGCCGGGTCACTTTGGCCTTGAGTCCGTCGACAGAACCCACTTGCCCGAGGAGATCCTTGTGGGACACACTGATGTATCCTTCAATCGAGTCATCGATCAACTTCATTGCAACCGTCAGCTTGTGGCTAAAGTCCTCTGACGCGCTCGATGTTGTCGAGTTTGTGGCGTCCTGGGAAATGATGCCACTTGCAATTGCCGCGATGTCCACTCCGTCTGGTGTCAAGAAGACACGCAGTTGGTCTAGGGAATGACGTCGTCATTAGTCTCTCATGTGAGTCGTGGCATGAGACATACCATCTGCCTGCAGCATGGTCACCACATCGTCCATGGCGGCGGGCGATAAAATGTGACAGTATTGCACTTGTTGTGGTGGATGTGGAAATGGATTCTCAGAGGTTATCACTATTCAGAATTATATTAAACTATACAATGCACTTAAATACGAGAGTATTATCGACCCAATCTTCCGTTTTGCGTTTTGGTTCTCCATGTCGGCAGTTTTCAAATTCACAGTGTGTCGACAACGAAAAAAATGCTGCTCGAAGTGGACGACTTTATTCGATGCTGCCAAGTATTCCTTGTGCAGGGAAGTGCAGGGTCAGTGGAGCAAAAGGCTGCGCATGATCATCTGCTTCTCTTCCAGCAAGTGCCTACAGCATGGCGCGTGGCGCTGCAAGTACTGTGTGAATCGGCTGGCGGGAACACAACGCCGGAAGCAGCATTGTTCATTTCCGCTCAGCTCGTCCGCCATTCGGTACCTCGATTGGAAGAACACGACCAAATCCAAGTGCGTGACCATCTCTTGCGTTATCTCCAGCACAGCACGGCCCCAGGCGTTCGACGCTCCAGCAACATCACTCCCGTGGACCGTTTGGTGTGTCTCGGGTTGGCCAGTTCTGTCGTGCACATCAAGTCTGGCTGGTCTGCCTGGAAACAGCTGCTTCAAGATGCGTTGTTGGGCAATTCTGCCGCTTCCAGTGTAGGGTTGCAGCTGTTGCTGGAGGTCTTGGCTGGGATTCCGGGCGAGCTCTACAGCGCGTGCAGTACCGCAGCCCTTCACGGGCTCGACGTAGCGCCCCATCTTCACAGCATGGTCCAGCAGTTTCAATCGCAAAAGCTCCACGTCATACAACTGGTGCTGGACACTTTGCGCTCAATGTACGTTGCATGCCTCGTCATGCATACATCGATAGATGCAAGCTTCCTTGTTGACACGCATCATCGTTTGTAGGCCGGACGCCGCGACGGCCGCGCTGGTCGTGCTTCAAAACTGGGGCCACGATACCATGCCGTTGCTGTGTGTCGAGTTTGGATTGCACTGTTTGGACCTGAACGACGGGTATTAATTACCGTTCCTGCAAATATATATATTTGCAGGAAGGATATATATATTCTATTGTTTCTCAGACATATGATTCATGTGTTGCTCGTAGAGGTCTCATGGGACCGTTGATGGACTTTGTCGTATCGGTGGAGAAACCAGACTTATCTCAAGTACGTTATCAACGAGCTGACTTGCCGTTGGTACCTTTAACCACGTCATATGTCAATGCACTTTTTGTAGTTGGCAGCAGAAATCATATGCGACGCGTTTGCTGCCTCGACTTTGTCGTGTACTACGTACGACTACATTTGATATTCCTGCTTTGGAGCAACCCTCGCATGTATATTGGCTTGATTAGAGCGTCCAAAATGGACGGGGCGAGGGCGGCAGCTGTGCTTGTCGTGCGCGTAGCCAAGCAGATTCTGTCGACACACGCAACGTTGGCGGTGTTGGTGGGCTCCAACGACCCCGACGACGAAGACGCGCGGATGGTCGTGGCGCGAAGTCTGGCCAAGATTGCGTCGACGGTGGCTTGCGGGGGGTCGCACTGTCTGTTTGCAGGCGGGTGGTGCCTCGACGTTCGTCGGGCGGAAGGATGCAGTGACTCGTTCGGCTTGGTAGTTATGACGAATCCGCCATGGAACGTGTTGGATGACGTTTGTGTTGATGGTGACCGTAGGAGTACCTGCAATACCTGGTCGTGTGCAGTTCGTTCCCGGTGCCGTCGGTGGTGGAGCCGACGCTCGAGTTCTGGTACGCCGTCTTGGACATGCACCGGCGGTGGAAGGATGCCGTGGACGCCAGCGACTGGGACGCGTTTGTCACATCGGCGCTTCCGACTATCCAGCAGGTGGTGGGGCTGCTCCTGCAGCGGTGCCAGTTCCCAGTGCACTTTATCGAGCTGAATCAAATCCAGTCCGACCATCCCGACGTCGACGACGTTCGCGATCTGCGCCGGTACGGGACTCTGCCCATCTCTCTTCTCCTGGCTTGTAAACTGATGGAATCTTACGGCACAGGGACATTGCGGACGCGCTCCTTAGCTTGTTTTCCAACTGGCCATCTAGTAGTACCCATCACCACCCGAGCCAGCAAGGGTCGTTTGTGTGCCTTACCCACGTCGTGCAAATGCTGCAAGCGGCCACCGCCACGCATGAACTGGACGCGCTGCTGTTTGTGCTCGACTATATGGTCGAGCTGTTCGACTTGGACGATTTAGATCCGGCAGACCCCATGTACTCGGCGGTTCTGCAGGTGTGGCAGACGGCAGTTCATGAGTTTGGACGGTTCCCGGATCATGCGTTGCTCATGCACGGCACCGCGAGGTAGGGCGCGAGGGCTTTTTTTATATATTCGTTTGCATCAAATCCATGGTATATGAATATATGAGGATGCTTTTCGTTGGATGGTAGACTCATCAGCTCCGTGGTCGTTCCGATGCAATTCGCCGCCCCTTCGTACGTGACGATGGCCACAGTGCTCACAAAGGGACTGCACTACCCCGTCGTATGCCACAGCAGTGCCAAAGCCCTGCTCAAAATGAGCTCCACCCTCGTGTACGTATGTCTTTGCTCGTCATACATATCGATCGTACAACTCCTGAATAATATATATATATATAATACGTATAAAATATAATATATATATATATATAATATTATACTTCGTATATGTGTATATATGATATATATATGTGTGTGTATATTATAAATGTGTACGTATATATATATATAATATATATATATATAGTATATGATAGCAAACACAATGTCTTTGCTCGTCATACATATCGATCGTACAACTCCTGAATAATATATATATATATATATATATGTATATAATACGTATAAAATATTATATATATATATATATATATATACTATATGATGATAGCAAACGCAAAGTGGGACTGATATATATATATATGATAGCAAACGCAAGGTAGGATTGGCGGTGCGGGGGGACTGTATCCAGGTGCTTCTGGCGACGATCAACCAAGACGCGGTTCATCAGACCCTCCAAGCCCAGCAAGTCGCGTACGGCGACGTGTTTGAAGCTCTGATGCGACTGGGCCACAACTTTCCCGACGCCGGTACGTGCATGCATCATAACGTGGCTACCGGTAGTCGCCACTAGCGCATTGTACTGCGATTGCTATGTATATATATATATATATATATATATATTGTCTACTCCTGTCTTCGTCTTGAAGTCATGGACGATGTGTAGACTATGTTCTGTTGGTCAACTGCGCGTTCCCGCGACTGGTGGCGTCGTTGCAGTCGATGGGTCCGACGAGCAACCCTCTAGAGGTCGCGCACGTCCTGTACGTGCTCGCGCGGGGTTTGCGGGGCATCCAGAACCTGCCGATCCGCGATGCGTTTCTGGCCCAAGAATGGCCGCTTGTGGCGACGATTGTGGCCCTTCACGGCGGCCACCCTAAGGTCCGCGAGCACGCCGTCGACTTGTTTGTGGCGGTGGTTCCGTCCACGGCCAACCCCGACACGCTCGTTGCCATGGCGCGCCTCTGCCTCCACTGGCACGACCAGCACGCGGCGCCGCACGCGCTGTCATGCTTGGGCGTGTTGGCAGCGTCGCACCCGGCATTGCACCCGCAGGTCCTCGACTTCCTCGTCGTGGCATTCCGGTCGTTTTGTGTGAAATTCAACTACGTGCCCAACGGGTCGTCGTCGTCGCGCGTGGCCCTGCTGCAGCGGTTTCAGCACCCGCCAGAAGATTTGGCGTTAGAAGCGACCCAGTTTTTTCTTCTCTTGCGAGAAGTGCTGCGCAGTGCGCCGGCGCTGCTGCTTGGCCACACGACGTCGTCGCAGCTGCTCGTGGAGGTGCTTCAGTTCTGCTGCGACGTGGTAGCTGTGGACCACAAGCTCCCCGACGTGACCGACGCCGTCTGCGCCTTCTTCAGCGACGTCCTCGCGCTGGAGTACGACAGCGGCGGCGGCGGCCTCTTGCAGCGAATGGCCGTAGCATGGGTCCAGTCCTTGCTCGTGTTTGTTGCCATGAGCACCATCTCCACCAAGACTCGGTGTGTCTCCAATGTGTTTCACCAAGCGCTGCATGCCGGTCCAGTCGACAGCACCCTGCGAGGTCTCGTCTTCTTCGAGTCTTTCTTGATGTGGTTTTGTACATAGGTTTATTACTATGTTGAATACAATCATAGACTTGACTCACTGTTTGTGGAGTAGATGCGTTCGGGGCTGCGTTGCACCAAGTGCTCGTGCATGGGCAACTGTTTGAGCAACGGATGACAGCGGCCGACGCGCAAGTGCTCGCTCAATCCATGCTCCAACTCAAAGATCGCCGCAAGTTTCAAGTGTTTCTGAATACCACGTCCATGTACTTGCAAGGGTACGGCCCGCCGCCGTGGACGGCCACGTCGCCCGTGCTGAGCCCCCGCGGAGCCACGATCCCGTCCTTCCTCGACGTATTGCACTAACATTCTGGAGAAAAGCCATCGTAGTATAACGTTAGCGACAAGACAGACACCAAGGCCATTGAAAATACTATTTTTTACTTATTTGTGCTCAAGAGAAAACAAGATCATTCATTTCACAAGGACTACTTATGGACTGAGTTATTTAATTGTCTGTTGAATTATATATTCCCCCTGCGTCCGGAGCGAACGAATTATTTGAATAATTCAAAACAACTTTGTAAACAATGTACTGTATGTTGTTATGGGAATGAAATGAACTTGCTATAACTACACCATTTTTCGTTTATGTTCACGTTATTTCCGGTATATTTCGTCCGGCGCACAACTGATTCACGACATGTGCGTTATGTTCGCCGAACATTCGATACATCTCCTACCGGTAGTGTCTTCAAGACACTAGTAGATGCAGGAACTGGCGAAAACTCATCATAACACTGAAGGTATGGAAGGCCAAAATCGAGGCATTCATGGTTGGCGAAAGCAAAATCTGGAGCTTCTTTGCAGTCAGTCATCCAACTTGTTGGAGAGGGACTTTGGTGCTGTACAGTACAGAGAACCCCGGAAATATCCGACAGGGGTTACAGCAAATTTTGTATGGAGATGTCGCCAGAGTAATAATATTCATTACTTTTTTATTGTTAGATATGATTGGTAGAAATTACGAACGTAACGTTACATGAGGAAATATACGGTATCGTAGATTTTGGGTCATATCATAAGGACGTCGTCGGAGTACGGAACATTTGAGTTATCATGGGCCCACCATTAGATGTACTTTCGGGGGTAGGTATTTGCATCAGTTGATGTAACGTAAAATGCCAATCTATGGGGTATGTGCCAATTGATGCTGTACGCAATCCAGCCAATCAATGAGTTCGGAGTTTGCGCGGCAAAACCTCCATATTATGATAAGGGCAACATGATGGAATGGCGCGCAGTGTTAATTTGACATGCCACCCAGCAAACCAAGACGGAGATACACTCCAGCAGAGCTGGAAGCTGCCGTGATCGATGTTATCGATGGCATGCTTGGGACCGATGCTTCCGCTCTCTACAGAATCCCATACGAGACACTCATGTACAAGGTCCGTCATCGCAAGAACGACACCGAGATGGCTCTTCAGCGTCCCGGTCCAAAGACATCTCTACCAACAGCATGCGAAGCCGACCTAGTCGCATGGATTGCTGCAATGCAGCAAAACGGCTTTCCAATGGATCGAGCTGGCATCATCGTGAAAGCCAACCAACTCATCCGACGCCTTGACCCAACGCGCTCACTCACCGGTGGTTGGTACCGGCGGTTCATTGGCCGACATCCCAACCTCGTGAACCGGGTGGCCCAGGTGATTTCAAATGCTCGAAATGGCGTGGATATGTCGGGAGTGCAGCGACTCTACGAGTCTTTGGACATGATCATGGCGGAGCACAACCTCACGCCGGACCGCATGTTCAACATGGATGAGACCGCGTTCGAAACCCGCCGCAAGTCGAAGAAGGTGGTTGCCCTGAAGGGATTCCCAAACGTTTGGGCCAAGACGGTGGCCACAA